AGAGAGAGAGAGAGAGAGAGAGAGAGAGAGAGAGAGAGAGGGCTATCCTAACTGAAAAAAATAAAGACAGACAAACTTTCAATTCCGTCAGATTGGAAACAATAACACACTATAACCAACAAAACAAAACACACTTTCTGTACATGACATGCCTAATGTATAAACAAAAGAAATACCAAAAACAACAAAACAAATGTCATTTTCAAGCGTTCATATTGTATTCCTTTTCCCCCATTTTTCAACAGTTCAGAGAATGTATTATAATAATTTTACATGTAGTCTGAATATTGATAGCATTAATCAGTTCCGTTGTGGATTTCAAGTTCATCGCAAAGCTACATAATGTATAATCTGTTACTTGGCTAAGCGAAATCGAAATCGGCGCCCGCATGTTTATGCAATAAAAAGTATGTGTGGAGTTAGCCGAGCACAACTTCACGTCCAGTCAAATAATATTATTATTAGTCTAGTTAGTTTAGTAAGGAGTTTTACGGCGCTCGCAACTGCATAAGGTCATATGAGGGCGCGAAACACAAGTTAGTTTTTCATTTGCAGTTCACTGCACGGCTGGGCTCGGGTCATTTGATCTTAAAATGCAAAAAAAAAAATGCATTTTTATTATTAGTCTACTGAAATGAACTTGTCAGTAAGATTTACTTTGTAGTGTATTTTAAAAATGTTGTTTCTTTAACACAAGTTTCCTTCATAACAGCAAATTTGATTACCGGTTTATTCAAATTATAGAACGCGAAGCTTAGCAGAGGATAGAAGAGAAATGTACACAAAAAGAAGTTGGGTTTGGGGTTTTTTGGTGGGGTTTTTTGTTTTGCTTTTTTCTTTGTTCGGGGGGATTGGGGGGGGGGAGGTTCTGAAACATTCAAGTACCGTAACATAAAGTTATCAAATTGACTTGACTAGTATGAAGACATAACATTTATTATGTATGATATGACATCAAATCTCTCAAAATATAACGAAATCAATAATACACGTATTTCCAGAAACAATCGGAATGACTAGAACTTGGGCAGGATTCATCGATAATCAATAACTGATCAACAAAAGCTGACGATATGAAGGGGAAAAAGCATGCATTCGGAGTCAGATTTCCCGGAGAAGAAATTAATCCAGAACAATGAAGACTCAGTCGAAGAACATCATAATCAGTCATACTAATGCTTTAGTTTCAGCAGTTAAGTACAGTAGTCGCTTCCTTCCTGTTGGATATCATACAATGTACAAGACATTTTTTTTTAAAGAGTCGAAGGTCAGTTGTTTGACTGTTCGCATGTCGTTTCAAATTTCAAGGATCTCTTTCATCCAATCAAAGAAGGGTCAGACAAGGAGAGAGTGGAAAAAGTCAACGTAACATTCAGTAATACGAATGCTTTAGAATCTAGTTATGAGCTCTGTTTGAAACTGACAAATTGTTTTTGAATTGTTTGATCGACGTCGATTTCTAAAGCTTCACAGCTCGTATCACATTTGTTGGACCTCTTTGCCCAAAGCAATAAAGGATTAGACAAGTAGTGTTAGGAAAAAAGTTCAATGTTTCAGCTTCAGGAGTCAGTTAAGATATGTTGTTGTGTGTAAAATAATCAAATTTTTGCGTAGGAAAAAAAATCGGTTTATAAAATCGAATGGCAATCGCTTTACTGCTGGTATCTGAACTTCCTCACGAAACTGGATCCGTCAGGGCGAGGGGACCGGATCTCCAGGGTGGGTCTGCCACTGCTGCTTCCATCCCGGACAGTGACCCTGTGGTTGCCGACCTGACCCGTTCTGCCACTGACCCGCCCGTTGAAGGAAGACTGCCTGGAGGGGTTAAAGCGGTTGAAGTCTCTGACAGCGTCGTTGAAGGATCCGCGTCTGGTGTACTGGCGGGTGAGTCGGCTGCCGCTGCTGGTCAGTCTGCCTCGGGACGCGCCTCGAAACAGCGCGCGGGCGGCTGCTCTGGCTACGAGGCCCCACCTCTTCCTTCTGAACAGGCCCCCCTCACCCTCAACCTCATTCTCCTCGCCATCGTTGTTGGTGTTGCTTTCGTCTTCAGCTCCCGTCTCGGACTCGGCCTCTTCTAGGGTGGACGTCCGTTCCAGAACCTTGTTCCTCAGCACGATGATGTCCAGTTCGGAGACCACCATGTTGTCCTCATCTTCAAGCAGAAGATGCAGCTCCTCAGGGCTCAAATCTTTCAGGGTGATTCCGTCCAGTTTTGTTCTGGGGTCAATGTCGTCTTCTGCTTCATCGTCATCATCAAAGTCATCGCCATCGCTGAGGTAGGCGGAGTTTTCAGGGTGCTTTTCAAGAAGGTCATCCTGAACTGAGTTGACCTTGGAGAAGTCCGGGTCAAGGACGGCGGATGTAGCCAAAGCCAACACAGCTGTGGCCACCACCAGGGCTAGCAGGTTCTTCAGACTCATCTTGACTTGACTGTCTACAAGGAGGGAAGGGGCGGGGTCGGGGAAGGGAGAGAAAAAGTGACGGGGAGGGAAGTACAATTAGTGGGTGTTTTTAATAATAGTAAGCTACTGTGGGCATAAAATCATGTGATATTTAGGAAAAGGAGGGTAGGGAGGAGAGAGAGGGACGGAGAGAGAGAAAGACAGAGAGATAAACAGACGCACAGATAGGCACAAAGACAGACACACAGACAGACACGCAGACAGACAAGGAAAGATAAACACTCACTGAGACAGATTCACAGACAAGGCAGAGACAATCACAGGTAGATAGACAGACAGGAAGACGGACAGACTGACAGACAGACAGACACACACACAGACAGACAGACACAGAAAGAGAGAGAGGGGGAGAGAGAGAGAGAGGGAGAGAGAGA